ATAATTCTTTTTCAATTTTTTCTGTTGCAACGCTTGCTGGATCAACACCATTATTAATAATATTCTCTAGTGTGTCACATTTGTCACACGTATCTGTGTGAGGTCTCTTGAGTGAAAGGTTAAAATTAATACGGAAAATATACCTATAGTAATTCTCCTTCGCAGGGTTTACGTTTCTTTCCATACACAGTTCTACATACAAAGTGTAGATTTTTTTCATTGTCAGTTCCATGTTCAAAATACTTCACACTTGGAGATCTAAACCTAGAGTAATGGTTACTGTACTTAGGAAGCGACTTTAAGTGCTCTTTGATTAAGTAAATGGTTTTATCTGTTGTTTTATCCGATGGAGCTTTACGGCCTCTTTGGTCCTTGTAAGAAAACGAGTTTGTGCTGGTCATTTTTTTCATTAGAACATTAGAAAGTCGTTTATTACTCACCTCGAGGACTTTCATAAAAAGAGCCTTACATACTCTATACCCTTCCAATGTGTAAGTACAGCTTCTCTTTACATAGCTCGCATTAGGTTTTTTTCTTTCAGGATCTTGAAGGCTAATGCAAGAACATAAAAAAGAAGTTTGAAAGTCTCAGCTTCCAAGTCCCCAATAATTCAAAAATAGATTGGCATTTGTCATTAGCTATATTTGTATTACAACCATATCTACAGTTATGGTTAAACTCTTCCATACGCCTTGCTCGATGCACTGTTCCTTTTCGGCCAGTATAAAGATGCTCTTCATTTTTTGCCTGCTTTGCACGGACCCGTGCCCAATTGCCTGACCTTCTCAGCCTCTTCTTACCGGAGTGTTTATTATGTTCTTTCCATGGTCCTGGTTTAGGTAGTTCAGATGCTACTTCGGATTCACTGTCACTAGATTGAGGCTGGTAATGAATTTTTACTTACCGCTAAAGAGGTTATGTTGAGACTCCTGTTCTTCTTCATCTACAATACTTGCGATGTCCATTTCAATTAGGGTAGCAAAATTTTAGTTACTTTACTCTTAAAGGTGCCAACTATCGTAGAATAATACGGGTAAAGTTTGAATTAAAAGATACGACAGCAACAGTGTCGACAAGCGTGTACAACATTCAACAACAAACAACTCTGATGACAGTCAGTTGGAGGCTAAGGGGTACAAGTGGCGCTTGTACCTCTTGGCTTCTCAGGAAAACAGCTGATATTTGAGGTAGTACTTATATTATCCGCTAGATTGCAGCACTGTACAGTGATACACAACAATATTTGACTCCATAGCAACTACTTAGTGCACTTAACTCCATTTTGTTTGAAATTGCACTTGTTCCCCTTGGCTTCTAGGCTTCTCAATTGAGAAATGGGTGTATTTAACGGTCCATCTGTGTTAGGTATAATGCTTATTTTCTTATTTTCTTCTTGCTGTTTCTAATAAATTAATGAATAAAAAATATTTATTATTAATATTACCGGATCGGTTTTTGTCTGTGTTAGCAAGAATTTTGGTAATTTCAGTATTACTAGTAACTGACTTTCCATTTATCTCGAGGCTTTTATTTAGGCAATATTCCGATTACTATTTAATCGAGATATTCTTTGGACTTGCATCAAACTTGATCCAAAATACTGCACTCATAATAAAAAATAAAAAATAAAATAAAAAATAAAAACATTTATTGCCCTAATAATATATACATGTCAACTTAAAAAATTTTAGCCTTCTTTCTTCCTGATGTTCCGCTTTTGCACCATCTTCTTCTGGTTTGATCTCCTTTCGGCATCCTGGACTTCTCTGGGTGGTTTCCTCGTCTTTTTCTGTAGGTACTTTTTATGGCATCGTACCTACTTCCCTACTGCACTCATCATTCACGGTGAAGTACATAAATGCGTTTCTTCCGCCGTCCGGTTCGCTCGGCTTTCTGGGCGATAGTTTGTTTAATTTATTTGAATGTATTCTGTTCTATTGCGAACTTAGAATGTTTTTTAACTTTGTCAGCCAATTTTCAGTCACCTTATTGTTTTTAATGTGGTTCCAAATTAAAACCTACAATTTGGATTAAACTTTTTAAAAGCAATCGTTAAAAAAATTCATTTATTGCATAGTGAATTCATAAAATCGATATCACATTTGCACACGTTTTATACGTATTAAAATTTTAGTATTATTTTTATTACCCAGAATGTTATTATAGAATTTTGAAATATTTTTTTATGATCGATAATTATTACGCATTTTAATTACCCAGTCCAATCCAGTACAAATCTAATGACGGCAAAAAATCTGCCACTCTGAAATGTTTAAAAAAAGCACTTAAATATAACATTAATTCTACTTAATGGATGTGTTGGATTAAATAAATGGGAGTATGGAACAAAAATACGAAAACAAAAAGACTAATTTACACAGCATCGGATAATTTAATCAAAGAGAATAAATATAGTCGGACAATGTACCACTGTCAAAGTTCAAATAAATCTTTACAGCTCTTCCAAAAAATAATAATATTTTAGCGATATTTCGTAAGTAGAGTTGAAAAGAATTATATTTATGTCGAGATAAGTGTAGATAGATAGATAGATAGATAGATAGATAGATAGATAGATAGATAGATAGATAGATAGATAGATAGATAGATAGATAGATAGATAGATAGACAGTTTATTTGACTGTAAGTTACAACTAGGTTTACAGCAAGTCAAAACTAAAATTATAAATATTAAATATTACAAAAAATGGAAACAATACATTAAAAATATTTAAAACATTAAAATACTTAAAAAACGAACAATGTAGACATATAATTAAAATATTAATAAATTTGGTTATGTTGCAGCTTAGGCATTCACAGATACACCCTCGTAATATTCACCTAATGTATAAGGACACATGGTCACAAGGTACTCTTTGACTTGGTTTTTAAAAGCTGTAGTTGAATTAATGTTTTTAAATTTTTGAGGAAGTTGATTATACAGTAGCAAACCACAGATAGTAGATGACTTCCTGCTTATTTCTAAATGTCGATAGGGTACTACAAACTGTCTCTTATTTCTTGTGTTGTGTGAGTGAATATCACTGTTACATAAAAAAGTTCTTTTATTTTTATGAATTAGTATCAATAATTCCAAAATGTAAATTCCATACGCTGTTAATATATTCAAATCTCTAAATAGGTTTTTACAAGACCAACCATACGGAACACCTGCTATACATCTGACAATACGCTTTTGGGCCTTGAAAACGTCCTTTACAGTAGAAGAACCACCCCAGACAGTTATACCGTAACTTATTGTCGATTGTACCTCAGCAAAATAAAAAAGACGAAGGTGTTGCAGACTAAGTATTCTACCCAAATTTTTAGAATTGAGTTTTTTACATACATTCCAACAATGAGTCTTAAAAGTTAAATGAGAGTCGAAAGTCACTCCTAAAAACTTCACATCACTACAACTCAAAATATCCTCACCTTTGATGGAAATACTTAAATCGGGTTTAGTTGAATTTGAACGTGATGTACCTAAATGATAAAAATTTAGTTTTGTGAACATTGAACAGGAGCGACTGATTACTGGACCAATCAGAGAAGCTCTTCAGAGAGTTTGTTATTTTATCTTGTAAAAAATTTATGTCTTTATCGCGATATAGCATTGTTGAGTCATCCGCATAAACTGATACAAATGCATCAGGCATTACAGGTGGTAGTTCATTAATATACAAAATAAATAATATAGGGCCCAATATTGAGCCCTGTGGTACTCCATTCTTATTAATAATCGGATTAGACATTGAAATCTTGAAGTTATTTTTCACTTTAACTATTTGGTGCCGGTCTTTCAGATAGGAAACAAACCAACTATGGGCAACTCCCCTAACACCATATCTGTACAATCTATCGAGGAGCACATCATGTTGCACACAATCAAATACACGACTGAGATCACAAAAAATGGCAGTTGGATTTTCACTGTTCTCTGTGGAAGTAGAAAATTTATTTCGAAATCCATGTTGATGCTTTGTGATAATTTGGTTGATATCTAAAAATAATAAAAGTTGTTTTAGCATTGCATATTCAATAATCTTAGATATCACAGATGAAACATTACATTACAGTAATTTCTACACTTATGTAGTGAAATTACATAGTAATTTCTACAGTAAATTCAATTAAATATTGAATTGTGTTACAGTGTATTTATTGTATTGTAATTTTTATATTTAACAAAATTAACAATGAATTTTACTGCAGAGTATGTGTAAAAAAAAATTTTGCGTTCAACTCCTTTTATACATATATGAAAATAAAAATATATATTTTCATTAAAATATTGATACAATCCTTCATTTACTATACTCCTATTACTGGTCAAATGTTTATATACAGCAAACGATGCACCATATACCTATATAAATAATTATTTTTCTTTTTCTGCTCTCCCTTACCTATAGCATTACATATGTAATGATTGTGCAGATTGACTTCCATATAAATTTGTAACGACGAACGCGTGTATAGAAGTATAACTTCTACCGGCAGTCCCACTGGACTGCCACACCCGTTTTTTTTTATTTCTTTATAAAAATCATTGGATATCTGATACCCATGTGTGCTGATTATTTAAAGAAAAATAGATGTGAGTATCTAGGGTTAAGATCTAAAAGTCGAAACCTAATAATTTATTAACCTTATTTATTTTGTCTTATTACCTACATCAAGGGTATCAATTGATCTGTTTTTAATATTATGCCAATATGATTTTGTAAACAATGAAAAAACTGAGGTTAAAGCAGTTATAAAGACATTTTACTACACAGAAATGAACAAAGTCTTAACTGAAGGAAAATTTAAAAAATATGCGCTTGGTACAGCAGTTGCTCTCACAGGATTAAAAACTGAATCGTTTGAAGGTTTTCCGCAAACCTTTTCGCCAATATCTTGTCTTGTTGACAGGAATCATTTGCATACATTTTTAATTACAGAACTTATTCAAATTTTGGAATTTTGTATTTGAACATTTTGAATTTTTACAGCAAGACGGAAAATCGATCGCCTACGGTGAAGACTTCAAAACAATAGCCCGGAAATGTTATGACTCCAATCCAGAGCAATTAGTAGCCGTAGGAATCAACTGCACGGCCCCACGACTAATCGAACCCCTTCTCACCGGGATAAATGATGATAGAAAAGACAACCCCCGACCACTTATTGTCTACCCTAACAGCGGAGAAAGTTACAACGTCGAACTGGGGTAGGTTTAATTAATTAAGTAAAATGTAAATGTAGCCGAGAAAAACGAAAAGAAAAAAAGCGAATTCGGTTATAAATCTTAAAAAATAGAGATTTTTTTCGGAGAGATCGTTTAAGTACATTCGTTATATTCTTAATTGAGACAAGATGGTTTCTTTATGTTCTCTACTTCGTTCTATTTTTAGAGTAACTTTTTTGATATTGTTGGGGAGCTTTTATTAGTTGTATCTCAATTTTACAATCTTTTCTGGGAATGATACCACATAATTAAGAAAAATACAAACTTTATTTATTATCTTTTGCTTCGGAACGTAGAATTGTAAAAGTTTTTTATTGGTTTGTTTTGTATTAAGATTTTTATGGTAACGTAAATTATATTGTTTTTATAGTCTTTTCTTTATTGAATGATTGTTTGTATTCTTATATAGAAATTCTTGAGTCTGCAAAATTTAATGTTTATTAGCCAAAGGTAGGAATGCAGAAACAAGAAAATTGAACTCTTTCGGAGCATCGTAATACTTTATACAGTATGTTTTTCATGATGAGTTTATGATTCGATAGCTTTGATGGATACTCGCCGAGTTTATAAGTTCTGAGACAGTTTAAAATCTACGTTCATTACGTCTTTATTCTTCCTATTATATTGACGTTTTCACACTTTTTTTCTTGTACATAAACATTCATCACTAGCCCTTTGTGAATCTGTCAGTAATTATTTTGTCTTCAAATCATAAATGTGTTGCTTGTGTGAGTCCATTTCAAATAGGTAAAGAAATAATAAATAAGACTTACTCACAATCAATTTAATTTAACTATCAGACGACCGGTTTCGCATTCTACAATATGCAAAGCATATTCAGGTCTCGATACAAAGTTAAATAAATGATGCCGGTACTCTATTAATTGATGGATGGTAGAATATGGTTGAAACTACTATGTATTGTTGAATGGAGATTTCAATTCTGCTATTGTAGTTGTATGACAGTAAACGGGAAGTTCTTGAGGAGATAGATTTGATCCGATGAAGCAGAGATATTGTGTGAATGTTTGTTAAATGAAAGTGATGTAATATACCATTGTATTATTAAAAGTTATTTATACTTATTCGAGAGATATATTTATGAAATTTGTGTTATTTATTGAGTAATTGTTTTATGAAGGTGACATTTTTATGACAATGAATAAGTTTAGATGTACAAATTGTGTGGGTGTGCAATTATTTTTCAACTTGTAGTTATCAAATCTCTTTGATAAAGTTCTATTGGCAAAATAGTAGATTATTGCAAAGTAAATCTATCAGATCATCTCGATGTCAATCCTGAATGACCGCTTCTGTCATTTTTATTTTTCTTTGTACAGTCTGGTTTTGCAAATGGCCCATAAATATTCAATGGGGTTGAGGTCTGATGAATTACTGAGATAATCTAAAATATTAATCTTCTCATTTTTGGAAAATTCCATTATTTGCTTTGACTTGTGACAGGGAGCAGAATCCTGTTGAAGAATCGCTCCTCCTTGGAACTGACATTTTTGGAGTTCTGTGTCCAAACGCTGTTCCAACATGGATTTTTATTTTTTGCTGTTCATCGTGCCTTCGATTGGTAAAAAAAGATCCCTATGTATGAATAACATTCCCAAACCATTTTTTGACTGTATTTTTACTGTTTGATGAATATGAAATGGTGTAAGGTTTTCATTTATCATTCCTGACGAATTTCGACCTCTGGCCCTAAACTATAACGTTAGTTTCATCTTTAAATAGGACTTTTCTCCAGTCGTCTGCAGTTTAATTAGAGTATTGTTGGATCACGATAGCCTTTGTTTCTTTATTCGTTCAGTTCTAAGCTGCTTTTTCTATGGACGCATTGTCTAGGGACGCAAGGTTACGTTTTCAATGCTTTGTCGGTTGTAATTGTGTGGACAGTATTGCCAACTGTGAGTATTAAAAAATGCCACAATGATTCCATTAATTCGCACAATACTGTATGTGATTTTAAGAAATGTTCAAAACTTGTAATTTCTCTACACAGAACTCTGAACTAATCATGTTGCCCTTCCATTTTTTTATATCTAATCTGGGTTCTCACACTGTTCACACATATCCTGTTCTTTATCTTTTTCAGTATTTTGCAAATTAAATCTCCAAGTATAATCTTAATTTTACCGTTTTTTATTTGGTTTAAAATTTACTTTAAAATAAAAAGTTTCCGCATAGCGCTTTTCCCTTTTATTTGTAGTGCTTTGTGGTTTTGATGTATATATTTGCATTATATTTTTTATTAAATTGTACTCTGATTTAGCAATTTTGATGCATGCAATTAACACTACTTAATTTTGGTCCTTAGTTGTTTCATCGCCAGAATAATGCATTAGCTGCCATTTGGTCATCTTATCTCGCTACATCTTAGTATATCTAGTTTAGTCTAATAATTATCTTTGCCAGGTGTCGGTCTTTCCTGCTTCCTACTCCTCGAGTAAAAACTTTTACTCCTTACTTTGGTGTATTTGTGGTAATATTCTGCTCTTTTTACTAGCTTATATTTTATGAAAGCTTTTTTTGCTTTACATTTTTTCTTGTTATTGTTTTATGCTTTATATAAAAAGTTGTTTTGTCTATTTTATAGCTGTGTTTATTTTTATCATACCGAGAGCTCATTATTAATACTGACGCTATGATAAGGAACGATATGTACTGGCGTAGAAACAAAAAAATAAAAGTAAATGAAGAGAATACTTTCTTAAATGTCTAAACACAAAAAACGAGAACGAATAAAGCCAATGTATTACACAACCGAACAGTATTTCGAAAACCTTAGTTATGAAGAAGTGGTACAGATATGAATGATAAAAGAAAACTAACAAACTTCCAGGTCCAGATGAAATTACAGTCCAATTGTTATAATATAAAGCACCTGGTCTGTGGGGCAGAAGTCATTATCTGAGAACCTTAATATGGATAACGCAACAAATGCTGGAGTAGTAGTTGGCATTATAGCCAATATACAGGAAAGGAGATAAGACTTAGTATTAGAACTATATACAAATTAATATACAAAACTCTTTCCGGTAATATTTATAACAGATTATTAGAATATTCTCATATAAAGCCGGAGGCAGAACACAACGAACTTCTGTACACAATGTAACTTCGCCTATTTTTCAAAAATTTTAAAGTGTTTGTTTGTCCTTGTGTAGTGTAGTGTGATGTACCATTTTATGTTTATGGCATTTTATTCTTGTCGGATAGGCCGCAATTGACGAAATGCCCCTAAAGAAGATCTAGGGATCGAAAGTACTTGGGCAAGATTAAATTAATTAATGTGCTCGATATTTGCCTTTTATTTGATCAAAGTTCATTTATTCGAGCATTCAACCTTATATCACTATATAATGTACTCGTATGTTTGTTTAAAATAATAATATTGTTACTAATAATGATCATATAGAATAATTTTTCATGTATACAGGGTGTTTCTTTGGGAGAGTAACATACGTTAACTGAAAAAAGGGGACACTTACGCGATCTCAAAAATCCCATTCTTAGTGAGTCTTACTTCATCAATAACAAAGATACTGGATATTTTATCTATTTTGCCCACCTCTTATTTGGTTTATAAATTTGTAACCACCCTGTATATTTTTTTATATTTGGCATGCGAATATACTTTAAGCTGTCCAATTGATTAATTATTTGTTTATAATTTTTAAAAATCCAGGACCGGATTAAAAAATATTGGAAAAATATTCTGTGTCTTTTTATAGTTAACGTATATTACTTTCGTAACGAAACACCCTGTATTTCATTAATAATTACGAACATTGAGTTTTTCACTTTTTATTAGCCAAATATTTTTAAGACTATTTATTCAAACACAATATAAAAAGAACTTATGATGTTAGTATAATATTGTTACTCTTAATTGTTATGTCGATGTTTATCACACTAGTAGTGAGCTTATTATAAATATCGCTAGACTCGTTGTTCTCTATTGACTTTATTTAATGTCGATATAAAAACATAAAAAATGTCTGATGGGGTAATTAAATTTCTTTTTTAACAAAAACCTTGAATATTCTTTATAAATAGCATTAATTTGTTTTGTAAACATATTTGGTATAAATCAAGATATGCCATGAAGATTATTTATTGAATTGTATTTTTAAGGCGAAAGCTGCAAAATGCTTATGTTAACTGCTTCGCACTGTATAAAATGCTTCAAATTTTAAAGTTAGGCTTTAGTTAAGTTTAAAATTGTATTCAAACTAAATTAGAATAGAAGAGATTTATCTACGAGTATATCAGATATGATTTGGTCAGATATACCTGATCTATATCAAGTATACAGGTATACACACAACCAATCTTATATTGAATCACCCAGTATTTCTTACTAATAGTAAGAAATGTATGACAACTTGATAAAATATAAAATAATAATAATAATAATAAATAAATAAATAAATAAAACATCTATATAAGGTCATGCAGAAAGCTGTGCTACCGACGTACCAAGTCACCTAGGACTCGATAACATGGAAAGAGTCCCTCCCACCAGAGCTCAATCCTTTTGATACCGTAGGTATCTGGGATGACTGAATTTTCCCCTTAGAGGGACTGTGAGCCGTATGGCTAAATCTGATAATAATGAATAACATAATTGATAAAATTTGATCAAGTACACATTGAAAAATTTTATTATTTGTGTCAAGTTGTAAAACCGAGACGTCAGAGTAAAGTTATGTTTATGTTCAAAAAAGGTAATAAGCCCTACGTAGGTTTATCAGATGTTTAGAGGGGAAGAATTGGTGCTCTTGTTGAGCAGGGAATGTCACAAAGGCAACTTTGAGCTACGCTGCACGTCTCGCAGGGCGTTGTTTCAAAAACATATGCAAGATTTTTAGAATTGGGTACTCTCAAGAACAGGCCTAGAGAAAGTCGTCGTAGAGTAACTAGTGACAAGACCGGTTTTTAGGTCAAATAGCTAGAAGAAATCCAACCTCTTCTCATCCGGAGCTACAAAGGCAACTTTTGCAGACTACAGGTATTGACATTTCAGTTGAAACAATACGAAAGAGACTTCGTTCCCAAAATTTATTTAGCATGAGGCAGTTGAGGGTTCCCGAGTTATCCAGACAGAACAAAATTGATCGGCTGAATTGGTGTCTGGAACACCAGAACTGGACAAATGAAGATTGGCAAAATGTCCTTTTTTCAGATGAAACCAGAATTGGCTTGAGATCAAATGACCGTCGAATTCGGGTTTTAAGAGGTCGAGGCAGAAAAGCTAGACTGCAAACTGCCAGATCCGTTCCAAATTATAAAGGAGGAACGGTAATGTTTTGGGGAGGTATTATGATGGGAAATAAAAGACCTGTGCGTCCCTTACGGCAAAGTTTAACGGCTCGCCGGTATGTCGATTTGGTACTAGAACCCATAGTTAAGCTGTGGTAAGGTGCAATGGGAAATATTTTCATTTTCATGCACGATAATGCCCCTCCACATACCAGAAGAGTTGCCACAGACTTTCTGGAAACTGAAGATGTCACTGTTCTGAGCTGGCCTGCCGGCTCACCTGATTATAATCCCATTAAGCGTGTGTGGAACCTCATTAAAAGAAGGATTAGAGCTCGAAGGGATAATCCAGGTAATGCGGATCAGCTCATTCAAGCCGCTCTAGAAGAATGGGCAAACTGACCTCAAGAACAAGTTGACGATTTGATTAGAAGCATTTCCCGTCGGATTGAAGCTTGTATTAGAACTAGAGGTGGCAACACTAACTATTAAAATGAACAACAACACTATCTTTTTCAGTCAACCATTGCAATGTTTTCATTTGTTCGTGTTTTTTTGCGTTTTTGTTAATTTCAAGCATTTGTAAATTTTTTTGATTTTTTTTTTTATAGTAATTAAACTGGTTTAGTGTAAAATGTAGTTCATTTTCCATTAACAAAAATTTAGTAATACTTTACAAAATCGGAAATACTGGGTGGTTCCGTATAATTTTGGTTGTGTATATCTAGTATAGGCAGAAAACGAAAAACCTGGTTTGACTGATTAATTCATATATCTCTAAGCGCAATATCACGGTAAAGGTCAGAAGTCAATTATCAATATGCTTCACTCCTATAGCAGGATTGCCAGAAGGTTTCGCCATACTATAGACAATATACAACAGCAACTTCTCCAATTCTAGAAAAACAAACACACTCACACTACGTTGCGCAGACTATATATATGCTTTCGTAACAAAACGCTAGAGTAACGCCTAAAGCTAATAGAACATCTAGGCTTTGCTCAATCTGGACCTGTCACAACAGCAGTATCGTTGGAAAGAAGGATGCTTGAGACAGTCACCCGTGTGTGCAGGAGTTACACCCTACAATCCTTGAAGGATCAAAACTTTCGAGCCCAAAACATATTTAAAACTGCCTGCTTATCTTACGGCAATGTATTCGTCAGACATCCTACAAGAAAACTTCCCTTTCTACCCACAAAAATTCTGATTTCTTTAAAGTCACGAGCTTCTTAACAAATATATCGACACCTTTTTTTACCGTACACCTATATAAATAGCTCACTTCGAGCTTTACACACAGACAAAGAGTAATCGGTTTTCTGTGGTTCTTCTCCATTGTATAAGTGTACGTGCTCATAGGAGGTTACAGCCACAGCTGCCTTCATCGCGAAGCTAAAACCAAAATTCATAAATAAATTCATTTGATCATTTTCATTCAATTTAGAGATTAAAAATATCACAACACAATTCTGAAAAGAACCATTACCAAGCCCTTTCTTCTCTGAACACCCAACAACCAGAAGCCAGTGCCGCCGTCCACAAAACACAAACACGTCCTGAAGAGGCAACAAAGTCACCTAAACAGGACTTTCAGAACATCCAAACAAGAAACAGCTATTACACTTAACCGACAATGACTCGAACTGGTCTGAAAACTCTGTAGCACAGAAATAAAACAAACAACAATATTATCACAATAAATGCAAGGAAATTGAGAGCCAGTTGATCAAAACGACCAGCTGATAGACCTGTTTATTAGAAAAATAAAATACTGAACAAGAAACTTGAATGCCAAAACTTTGGCCGTTGAAGAAAACACAGGAACACAGAACAAAGAGAAAAGATACAGCAGATACGTAAAGATCACACCGCCAGAATATTTCTAAAGACGACTAACATGAGAAACACATTTCAACAGAGAATAAACGGCTCTAACTATTATTATATCCTAGTTAGTCAAAGCCACCATTGAGGGGAGAGTAGAAAGTCGTTGTCAGTAGAGGGCAGTACTATATGCACTGTTATGAGCTATACTGATGGACGACCTATTAACGAAGCTGTCCAAGGAAGGTTTCGTCTACATGGGATATGCGGACAACTTGACAATTCTAGTGAAAATATTTTACGAAAACAATCGTGGAGAGGGGAATTTGCTTGGTAGGTAGGTGGTCAATTGGTGTGTTAGGACCTGATGGTCAATCCCCAAAAAATTAGAGCAAGAGCATTACAAGGATTATTTTATTAGTTTTGAGAGGAACGGAGATTCCATCTGTAAGTCAGGCCAAATATTTAGGTTAATACTCTACCAGAAGCCGACGTATCCTACTTATCCAAAACATAACAAAATGCTGTAATCTCACTTAAAAAGTGACCATGAGAACTACTCCAGCGTCCACATTGGAGATTCTACTTAACTACCTCAGGTAGATGTGGAGGAGGTCAGGTCCAACTAGTTGGACTGTTCAAAACTGACATCTGTAATTAATGGAATGAGACCAGATAACATAGAAATTCGATTAAGTTTCGTAACATACGCGACATATGATTATTTAGGAGAAAGTGACCGCTATACGAATTTGCGTTATAAGCCTAATAGAACGCTAGATAGAAAACAACAGAATTGTGATTTACTCTGACAATCAAGCAGACCAGTTCGATAAGTTCCATTCATATAACAATAGATAATTGAAGGCAAAATTGGGGACAGGCGAGGTTTTGATAGACGACAAATGAACATGGCTAAGAAACATCAAATAATGGACTGACTTAAACTTCCATTCAATAATAAATAAAGCCCAAAATTGGGAAGAATTTGCAGAAGTCATCGTCAACCTTCACTAGAAGAGAAGACCTCAAGAGGAAGAGCTTGACAGAACAAGCTGGCTCTCTCTAGAGGATAGGAACACCGCATTGCACGTCTTATTCCACTGCGAAGGCTTTGCAGGACTGCGGTATCTAAAACTCAGAAGAGAAAGAAACCAGAAGCATCGGGTTATATGCAAAGACCACTCTCAAGGCTGTAGAACATAATGATGAGAGTTGGGCTAAGTTAAGAGGTTTAAAAAGCACAATGGATCTACAAAAATAACTGTGACACTCCAAAATCATAGTTAGTACATAAAAAGTCAACAATAATGTCTTTCCCGAATTCAGATTTATCTAGTATGGCTACGTTATTCTTTTTGTATTATTAAATGGTTAATTTAAATGGTTGGATCGATAGATTAGCCTGTTTCGCTGTATTATGTATTTATGGGCCAACAATGTTCGCAAGAAAATTCCTGTTGACTATTAAATGATATAGTCTACCGTTAATCTGTCCTGAACCAATACCCATTCAATTTTTTCTTTTTACTGCTGGTTTTTTACTTTTTTGTAGTATAAAATCGTTCTTGAATAATCCTAATTTGTTTAATTAATATGCTTATCATATATGCGTTTACATTTTACACCCAATTTAAACAAAACTGAAAAACAGTGAACAAAATAAAAAATAACTTGTGATGCACAATAATAAATAAAAACTGTTACTTGTGATTAACTTTTTCTATTAATACTGTTTATTTTTATTCTATCATTTACTTACAATTTAACGTTGAAAGTCTAAACCTAACCTAACCTAACGTAACATGTATGCTAAGTAACTTTCTCTTGTATTACTTTTTGCTAAAATATAATTTTTGTGCTAATTAAAATTTAAAAAACTCAATGTACAGAATCATCGCTTGCTTCATCTGCATGGGAAATGGTTTTTAACTTTAATCTATCTTAAGGTGTGATTCCAGATGGTTTAACCGAGAAAACTGCGAGCCAGTAGACGCAAACATTCACAAATGGTTAGATCTGGGAGTCACCTGGGTAGGAGGCTGCTGTAGAACGTACGCCATGGATGTCACAAGAATAAGCGATCAAGTGAAGTTATGGAAGGAGAAACATTAGCTGAATTTGTCCTTTATGTTTTTATTTTTATTTTTAATAAAGTAAATTCCCACTAATTGTAAAAAATATTTTAAAAATATTTTTTAGGTCGACAAAAATATTTGTTTTTACCAGCTGTAAAAAGTTTTGAGAGAACTGTTTTATTATTATACCTTGTATTATTATTTTCGTCCAATTTCTTTAAAAAAAATGAAAATTGACAATCAGAAATAATTATAAAAAGGAGATAGAATTTTTGTATTGTAATGATTTTATTGATAATAATGTTAGTTTTTTTTAATTTCTCCTGGAAATAAATCACAAATTGTCGTTGCCACTATAAAATCGAAGACAGATTTCAATGTACAGATTTTAGAATAATAAATATTGTTTCTTTAAGTCGAAAAAAAAAAATCTAATTCTAAACCATAATTTAATCTTAATTGAACCTACAATACTGCCAATAATATAAAATAAAATGTATAACACATTTTACAAGAGAGGTTTTAATATATTGTCAATATTTTTTAAATTTTGTTTCTCTCTTACAACTTTTTTTTACAATTTATTTATTTGAATACATGAAATTAACTTTAACATAACAGTAAGTACATTAATGTTATTACAGATAAATTTACCTCAATGTTAACAGAGATCGCCACAAATATTATAGGCAAAGCAGCAAAAGCACAACATAAACATTCAGTACCGTGGTGGAACAAACAATGTGAAGAGGCACTTAAACAAAGTAAGCATGCATTTAATGTTTTAAAAAAATATCATACACCGGAAAACATAACAGCTTTTAAAAAATATAGTGCCTACGCAAGGTACGTAATTATTAAAAAAAGTAAACGTGAATCATGGCAAAATTATGTTTCTACAATAACCGAAAATACTCCTGCATCAGACATCTGGAATAAAATCCGTATAATTAAAGGCATTTCATACAGCAACAAAATTAACTCTCTTGACATTGAGGGAAACTTAATTACAAACAACAGTCAAATGGCCTACTAATTATCGAACTCATTTCAGACATATTCAAGTGATTCTTTACATGACCTATTATTTGTCAAAAACGAAAAGAAAATAGAAAAAGAGGTCAAAAAAACAGATTCCATCAGTTTGCTAAATGTTGCAATAAGTATGCAAGAACTAAACGAAGCACTGCAAGGACATAAAAACTCTAACCCTGGACCACATGAAATTCCAAATTGTTTTTTAATTAATGTTCCTTTAGCTGCTAAGCATCTACTCTTGGATATATTTAATTTTTTATTTTCCTAAACAATTTCCTAAATGCTGGAGTACCGCTACAATAATTCCTCTTTTGAAACCCAACAAAAACTTAAATAAATTAGATTATGGATCAATTGTATACAATTTAGCTAAGGACTCAATATTAAAAAAATTATATATTGTACAAAATACCGCACTAAGACTAGCTCTAGGAACTCTAGGACTAGCCCTACAGAACGAATTCAGTTGAAAGTCTTTATGTCGAAGCAAATAAATCTCCAGTTTCTAGAAGAAGATTACGTCTCAGTTTATAATACGCAAGCAAGCTATCAACTAATCCAAACAACCCGGGCTACCTCTATGCTTTCTCCACACATTACCATTCTAATTACAATCAAAATCCTAATCTTCGATCATTTAGCAAAAGAATTAGCAACTTCACATTTCCGGGTATTATGCATACCAATATTGATTATGCTCCCCCTTGGACTATACAAATTCTATATTGTAAACACAGATCTGTCAACTTATACTAAGCACAATACCCCTTTATCTCTTTTTCTCCAATACTTCTACGATATTAAAAATAAATATTCATTCTGTCAACTAGTTTATATCGATACATCAAAAACACCCGAATTGGAAACAGTAGGATCCGCCATTTTCACAGAGGATTCTGTACTCAAGTTTCCACTACCTAAAGGAGTTCAACAAACTCTTAATCGACCTGAAGACATGATAGTAATATTCACAGATTCCAGTGCAAACCAGGGAATTCAGAAAATATATCCGAATCATCCGATTTTAGAACAGATTAATACCTCGTGACTCTACAAAATAATCATAAACAACTTCATATTGTGTGGATACCATCTTATGTGGGGATACCAGGAAATGAGATAGCTGATCAAATGGCCAAAGAAGCTTGTAAAATGGAGAGATCCGATGACAGAACTAACCAAATTCCTCACTCAGATATGAAAAAATGCATCAATGAGTACACAAAAAACTTATGGTTACGAACCCTTACCAAATAATAAATTGCGGCAAGCAAACCCAGATCTATCAGTGAAAACACCAATTTTAGTAAAGGGAAGGGACCAGGTTGTACTACATCGTATCCGAATAGGACATAGCAATGACGCACGAACACCTACTAAGGAAGGAACCTCCTAGAATATGCTACACCTGTGACACCAATATAACTGTAGGCCACGTCGTTATAGACTGTCCATTATATCAATTGTAAAGACAAGCTACTGTGACAAAATCATTAGGTTTTTAAAGAAAACGAAATTGTATAATCAAATATAAGTGATACTTCAAAAGAAAAATTTTAAATTATAATCAACTTTGTAAAAACTTTATAGTTTATATTTTATATTAATCATTATAATATGTTATAGTCTATATTGTAGCACCGCTAATAACCTTCTAGGGTTGATGCGGATTATTCCCCAATAAAAAAGAACAGTAAGTAGGGTATAATATTTGGGTCATGTGTTAAGAGGTGAAAGATATGAATTACTCCAAATCATATTGGAAGGTAAAGTGCATGTCAAAAGATCAGTTGGAAGACGCCAGAACTCGTGGCTGAAAGATCTGAGATGATTTGATCGCTCATATACAGAATTCTTTCGTGCAGCAGTTTCCGAAACCACAATTGCCATTTGGATCGCCAACCTTCGAAAGGAGACGGCGCAATAATAATAATATTAATAGCGTTTATTGTCCAACAGAATCCATTTATAGGACAAAATACAATACTAAAGTTAAATGAAATATTAATAATTCATAAACTACTAACTAAATAACACATTTTTCGAGTATTTTACCTTAACATAAAGAAACTACTTAATCACCTAGGTAGATCTCAGCTATCCTAGTAAGCTGCTTTAAACTGCAGTGAAATATATCGAAGTAAGCACTTAAGGAATTATAATAGTTGCACATGAGAAATAGAGGAGAATTTAACATAAGATTAGTTCTAGCTTGTGTATTTCTGAACGTAATCGAATTTCTCACTGGATAAGATGGAACGTTAAAATTTATTTGTCGAAGAATATCAGGGCAGTCAATGAGATTATGTAGTAGCTTGTACAGGAATATTAGGGAGGCATTAATTCGTCTAGATTCTAATGATACTACGTCCAAACCGCTACACAACTCGCTATTGCTGATGCCCCTCCTGGGATATATGCCGTTAATTTTGAAAGACAAAAATTTTAAAAATTTACGCTGCACGTGCTCTATAATTTGGATGTGTACATCATAAAAAGGTGACTAAATGACAGAAACGTCCAGTTTACAGCGTACAAAAGTGTAATAAAGTAATTTAATTGCCTTAGTATTAGTGAGATTTCGACTATTTCTAATTATGAATCCATAAGATTTAAGTGCTTCTTTAATCTTTAAATTAACATGTTCAACAAAGTTGAGTTTATAATCAAATGTAACTCCAAGGTCTTTAATTTTATTCAAACGTTCAAGTTCATTGCCATCGATAATATAAGGGTGGTATATATTAGACTATTTCCTAAAATAACTAACTACTTTGCACTTATTGGCATTAAGATTCAAATGATTTGCATTACACCATTCATGTACACGATTCAGTTCACTCTGCAAAAAATGACAATCATTAAGGTCGCTTATCAATGAATAAATCTTTAAATCATCGGCATAACATAAACATTGTGCAGAAATTGATTCACACAGATCGTTAATAAATAACAAGAACAATAATGGACCTAGATTAGAACCTTGTGCAACCCCTGAAGAAGCTAGGTACTTTTCCGATTTGTAACCATTATAAGCAACAAACTGCGTTCTATTTGACGAGCAAGACCTCATAAAAGTCACGGCATCCTCAGAAAGACCAAAGAGACACAGTTTAGAAAGTAATACGCAATAAGAAGAAGAAGAAGTAGGGTAGGTGGTGGTAGAAGTATCCACTTTAGGTATATGCATATTGGTAACACTTTTTATTGCAGTATATGTAATAAATTTGTTGGGGCCTTGGGCAACTTATGCCTTTAGCTGCCAATATAAAACTACAGCTACTTACCTGTAAGAGAAAACCCTCATCATCGTATCATAACTGTTTTAGTTTTGTTCTAACTGTCTTTTAGTATTTCCTACTAAGACTACATTATCAGCGTACATAAAGGACTATGTATGGAATGTAACCCTCTAGTTTCCCTGTTATCTGATCTTAACAGTAATAATAGTAAATGAGGAGTAAGCACTGGGCTCTGATGCAATCCTACTTTCACATAAAATTTATCAGTCTGTCTCACACTTGTAACAGTAGATGTTTCGTCCTCAATCTCCTATCACGCAACCTCTAGAGAAACTATTCTTTCTCTAAAAAAAATTTATTTAAAAATTCCTTTATAAAAGATATATATCAAAGGTATTTAATAGGAAGGAATACTTTTGGAATTTACTAAATATTGAAAGTGAGACGGACGAAGCAGATATTACGTTTCATTCTGCAGATATCGAAATACTAGCACCAACACTTTAGGAAGTAAAGAATGCGATCACGTCTCTAAAAGACCATAAAGCACCAGGAAATGATGGCATAAATGGAGAGTTGTTAAAAAAGGAGGAAACCTTTTACACCAAAAATTGTATGACATCGTTCTGAGAGTATGGCAACAACAGAAAATGACTGGAGAATGCAATGGAAGCGTTATAATTCCCATATATAAGGAAAAAAACAAAGAACAATTCCGAAACTAATAGCACATCGCTTATTAGCACATCATCCGAGGCATATAGCTTATTAGCACATCATATAAAGTGCTATCAATTATCTTGCTAAAGAGACTCACACCATATTCGGAAGATATTCTAAGCGACTACCAATGCGGCTTTCATGCTGGAAGGTCAACTATAGATCAGATATTTACCATCCGACAAATATTAGAGAAAAACTGGGAATTCAACCGCAATATACACCAAATTTTCATAGATTTCCAGCAAGCATTGTAAAGCCAGTGAAGAAGAAGAAGATGTAGTTTAATATATACCTTTTAATAAGAAAATTTTAAATACATTTTTTGTGATACATGGTGTACAGCCAGCTACATGAAGTTAGTCTCCTTGTGAATTTTATTCTTTCTCTCTCTGTCTCTCTCTCTCGCTCTCTCTTTTTCTTGCATTATTTCAAAGAT